GAGGTGTACCGCAAACCCACCCACACAGACCAGTATTTGCAGTTTGACTCCCATCACCCTTTGGAGCACAAGTTAGGAGTCATCAGGAATCTGTATCACAGAGCAGATAGCATCCCCACTAACTCGGGAGCCAGGCAGAAGGAAGAATCCTACACAAAACAGGCTCTAGAGCAATGTGGATATCCTAACTGGGCCTTCCTGAAAGCACAGAAGAAACCCAAACAGGACTCCAGTCAGCCATCAGGTGAAAAGGAGGAACCCAGACCCAGACCAGTGGTCATTCCGTATGTTGAGGGAGTATCAGAGAAACTGAGACGTTTATTTTCTAAACATAACATCCCAGTGGCTTTTAAACCCCAAAATACATTACGGCAACGACTGGTTCATCCCAAAGATCCAGTCCCCCGGCACAAACAGAGTAATGTTGTGTATGCTGTTCAGTGTCAGGAGGGCTGTGATCAGTCTTACATCGGGGAAACTAAACAGCCACTGGCCAAAAGGATGGCCCAGCACAGAAGATCAACATCATCAGGCCAGGATTCTGCGGTCTACACTCATCTCCAGGCCAGCGGTCACTCTTTCAAGGATGAAGATGTTCACATCCTGGACAGAGAGGAACAATGGTTTGAGAGAAGAGTAAAGGAGGCCATCTTTGTGAAAAGAAATCGTCCATCATTAAACAGGGGTGGAGGCCTCCGGGTTCAACTGTCCCCCTCTTACAATGCTGTGATTGCTAGTATCACTCAGCCCTCTGTGAATAGTAAACAGCCATCAGTGTGCTAATGATCCATTGTTAGGCTGATGGTCCTTCTTGAGCATGTGATCAGCTGGTTTTGATTGTCAGCAGCAAACTGGTTGATCCACTCTGAGAAGGTGCTATTTAAGAGACTGAGCTGAAAACAGCACCTCAGACTGAGGAAGTCTCTTGGATGAGAGACGAAACGTTTCTATATTTTTTTGCTTAGTTTTTTTTTTTTTGAATGTCCAGAGGACCAGATTGAACTTTTTTGGATTTTTCTACCTGGATTATTGAGCATGCATCAGGATATTTTTCCATGAGAACTTAATCTTTACAGGTCCATCACAGGCTGTTGTGCTGTGGAACATTATTTTCCTGTGGGCGTGTTTCTGTGAGTTGACAGAGATGTTTTGTTTTCAGGACATGAGGAACCTGAGGTTTGCTCTGAAACAGGAGGGCCACAGCAGAAGAGACATCTTTGAGCTCATCTTCAGATATGCCTTCCCTCTTTCATTCAGCATGGTGAGAAGCCTTTGACCTTTGTCTGCCCTTATTCTGTTCAAACAATAAAATAAGTTCATGCTGATTTAGCTAGACAATGAGGTGTGAATGAAATGTGCATTAGTCGTACTCTGATATGTCCGGCCATCCCTGACCACATGAGGGTGATGTTTCTTCCTTTGTAACCTGAACAAGATGTACCAGAACATTTCTGCACAAATGTTAGTCCTGATGAAAGTCCAGCACACCTGTGTAATGATCTAAGGTCACTAATAAAGGCTTAGCTTTTGCTTATTCTGACACATAGGGTGAAATAAGACTCTTTATTTACCAAAAAGAGTTTGTTTAGAGAATATTTAAAAAAATTCAAAATCATTAATGGTCAATTGAATGTTCCATCTATAAAATTCTTCCAATAAAGTGTGGTTGTGTAAAAACTGTTGTTGTGAAAGCACCTCGCGTATGAACAGTGTGCACTCACAAAAAAGTTGTACACATCAGGTTCCATGCATGTCAGGATAATGAAGACAAATTAGTCTAAAATTAGTCACACAAGCAAGATTCACATGTGCACAAACAGTTGTTCAAATGTACACATTTCAATTTGCACAAGTAGGAATACTCTGCACAACCAAAAGTGTGCCAGTGTTTCCTCATTAGAACATTTATCGTATGCTTTAAATTCACATTAACACACAGGTTCTTTCTTTGTTGAATTCAGGTCTCTCTTGTAAATGAGTCCTCGAGGCTCAATGGGATTTACCTGTCTAAATAAAGGTTGATTGATTGATTAAACAACATGCAACATGCCTCAAACATTTCATTGTGTAAACATTCATGCTTTAAATGATGATGATACTACTACTAATAAGAATAATAATACATTTTATTGAAGGCGCCGTTCAAATCAATCAAGGTCACCGAACAAGGAATACAAAGATAAAATGATAACACAATAAAAGACAGAAATCAATAAAATCAAACACAATTAATGGTAAAATACATAATGACATTAAACAGGATTAAAGCTGCAAGCAGCATTGTAAGCCCTCGCAGCAAAGCATCGCCCCGGCCTTACGGTGACCACGGGAGCTCCAGCTAGGCCACCCAGTCGCCATCGCGAACGCTTTCATGCCAATCCCACATGCTTCACCATGGGGCGCCTTTCCCGAATCTTCGACATCGCCTTCCATCCATGTCAGTACTTGTCCAGCTGCAGATCTTAAAAGTATAGGCGAAATCTGACCTTCCAGACGAGAGTTATTGTGACTTGCTGTTTTGTGGCGAATATTTGACGAGCACTTCCTTTATACTTTTCAACATGTCATTTGTGGTAATCAACAGTTAGCGAGCAAAGTTTCAGTCTAATATATTATGCAGTGTGAAGCTAGAAGAGTCATCCAATAATCAACAGTTTTTATCCGAGTAGGTGGGGCTTAAGTGATGTCATGAATCATTAAAACCAATGTGTCTACAAGTGCTCGCTGATGAAGCACAAAAAAATCAGGTCCAGATCAGATGATGTTTCACTAAAATATAACTGATGGAATAATGTAAGGGTGCACTTGTGTCAAATGTTAAACTGTAGCAATGTGTGTAGAAGTGTTCACTGATGACGACAAATAAATCTGGCGCAGATCGGATGATCTATCACTGAAATATACCTGTTGGAATAATCTAGGGGGCGCACTGGAGTCAAAAGTTAAACAACAATATCAATGTGTCTAGAAGTGCTCACTGATTATGCACCAAAAATCTGGTGCAGATCGGATGATGTATCACTGAGATATAACTGTAGGAATAATTTAGGGGCGCTGTTGAGGCTTTTGGCCACTTATCATGGATGATTCAAGGGGTGGATTATGATCGATCATATTGATTTTGGTGCACCTCATCTCAAATCTGTGCAATTTAGAGCCAAACTTATTGCAATGGCGTCACATCTTAATTCGTCACGCTGCCACGCCCACATCCTCCAGCTAAAACTGTTTGTAATTTAAATCAAGTCAGATCAACTTGTTATGTCTTCTAACACAGGATCATCCTGATTAGGTCAAGGGTGTCAAAGAGGGAGCATTCCAAGTAAAAAAAAGTGACTTTCTGTTCTGAGGGGTCATGGCTTTGATGACATCAGAATATGACACAGAGGATCGTTGGGCATTCAACAGGGATGACTCATGCCAAGTTTGGTGCATTTCGGTCTTTCAATGTGAAAGTTATAGTGTTTGGAAATTAACGACTTGAAGTGCAAATTTGAGGCCTGGCCCCGCCCCTTTAACATATACGAAAACATAAGCTTTTGATAACTTTTACTCTCCAATGTTTTAAGGGCATATTAACCAATTTTGAAGGCAATCCTTCAAAATCCCTAGGAGGAGTTCATTAAAACTCACAATTAGAAACGCCCCAAAATGACACTTTGACCCAAAATGGCTGACTTCCTGTTGAGTTTGGACCAGGGCTCCAAGAGACTTTTTCATAGGTCCTGAGAAGATACAGATTTTCACCGAGTTTAGAATTATCGGTCATAAATTGGCTTGGGACTGAGGTTTTAAAATATTCTAGGGCGCGCTGTGGAGGCTATTGACCACTTATCATGGATTCTTGTTCAAGGGGTGGATAATGATTGATAGTACTGATTTTGTTGCACCTCGGCTCAAATCTGTGGAATTTAGAGCAAAATGTATGGCAACAGCTTTACGACGTACTTCTCCACGCTGTGCCGCCCACATGCTCCACCCAAAACTGTCAGTGTTAGAAAGCAATTTACACCAACGTCTTCGGTTACTGGACACACTATTATGCTGATTACGTCACAGGGATCAGATAGGGACCATTCAAGGTAAAACTTTACACTTCCTGTTGTCAGGGGGCGTGGCTTAAGTGATGTCATGATTTGACCATTCAGTCTTGCAGGGGACTGGATGTGGATCAATCACTTAAGGTTTGATGTCTCAGACAGTTTTTGTGTAGGAGCTATTAGAGTTTCATTTTTCATGGCAAGTTGTCAAACTTTTAGGTCTGGCCCCGCCCCTTCATCATGCTCCGAAATGCACCGTTTAGATAACTTTTCGCCCCCCATGCCTTTTGACCAAAATGGCCAAGTTTGAAACCGATTAAGCGAAATCCCTAGGAGGAGTTTGTGCAAATGCGGAGGCTGTAAACTGCCCAAAAGGTGTGAAAATTGCCACGGCATTCCAAAATGGCCGCTTTCCTGTTTATCATACAATGTTGGTGCCAGAGGGTTTTTTGTGCATCTTGGGGAATTGGACAAGTGTACCCAATGTCATGCTTCTACGACAAATTAAGGCTAATGCAGAGGGTATTTTGAAAATTTCCAGGTGGCGCTCTTGAGCCGTTTCTGTTGCGATTTTTGCGAAACCCTTAAAATACATAATTTTTCAGCAGTCCTGATACATCCGCCAAATTTGTTGAGTTTTGGGATATGTTAAGGCCCCCAGAACGCCAATTCAATTGACGTAAAACTTGCTCAGGCCTAATGAACTGAGCAATTACAATAGGCCTTCGCAGCGCTTTGCTGCTCGGGCAAGTTTGAAAAAGTGAGTTTTAAGGTTAGATTAAAATAAGGATAGTCAGAATTACGGATGTGGTGTGGAAGAGAGCTCCAGATACGAGGGGCTTTGTGGAAGAAGGCTCTGGATCCCATGGTTGTCATGCGTGCAGGAGGTATAACAAGATAAATTGATAAGGAGGAGCGAAGACTTTGGTCGGGTGTGTAATAGCAAAGAAGATCAGTGAGGTACAGAGGTGCCAAGTTATAGAGATCTTTGAAAGTGAGGAGGAGAATCTTAAAGTCAATGCGATATTGTATGGGTAACCAGTGAAGATGTTTCAGGATTGGGTGATGTGTTTAACGTAGTTCTGATGATGATCCGAGCAGCTGTGTTTTGGTGTTTTGGACAAGCTGAAGTTTATAGATGATTTTGAGAGGAAGATCCGAGAGGAGGGAGTTACAGTAATCTAATTGAGAGGTAACTAGAGCATTGATAAAGATGGCTGTGCTGGTGGGGGTAAGAAATGAGTGGAAATGGTTGATGTTTCGAAAATGAAAATATGCAGACCGAGTAATGTTATTATCATGAGATTCAAAAGATAAAGTGCTATTAAGGGTGACACCCAGACTCTTAGCTGTAGAGGAGGGAGAAACTATGTAATCAACAACTTTAATTGTGAACATATTACATTTGGATAAGGTAGACTTTGTGCCAACAAGGAGGAATTCTGTTTTCTTTGAGTTCAGTTTAAGAAAGTTTTGATTAAGCCATAATTTAATTTCACAGAGGCAGTCTGGAAGAAGATAAATGATAAACAGGAGAGGACCAACAGCAGAACCCTGCGGTACACCTGAAATAACTGTGGAGGACTGTGGTTTGAAGTTCATAACTTGGACAAAGTACTGACAGTCAAAGCGAACAATGCCAGAAAAACCAATGGAACATAATCTATCAAGAAAAATATCATGTGAAATGATATCAAATGCTGCACTCAGGTCAAGGAGTATGAGAACTGACAAAAGTCCAGAGTCATCAGCAACCAGGAGATCATTGGTGATTTTAATCAAAGCTGTCTCTGTGCTGTGGAGGGGGGCAGAAAACTGACTGAAGTTTTTCAGATTATTATCAGAAAGATGACTGTGAACCTGGGCTGCAACTGTTTTTTCAAGTATTTTGGAAATGAAGGGTAAGTTAGAAATTGGTCTAAAGTTATCTAAGTCATTTGGATTAGCACCTGGTTTTTTTTTTTAAGAATTGGTTATTGCAGCAGTTTTGAGTGATGATGGGACAAAACCAGAAGAGAGAGAGAGATATAAATAATCTTAGTTATTAGAATAGATAAAGAAGGTAGACGGGTTTTAACTAAGTGTGTAGGAAGTGGATCAAGCTGACAAGTAGATGATTTGGATTTAAGCCCCCAGTATACTGCCGCGTACATCCGCACGCAGAGGTACGCACGTACGTACGCAGAGGTACGTGCGTACCCCCCAGGGCATGTCCGTGCAA